GACTCTGCTCTTCCATGGTGACCCAGGAGACCAGGAAATGTCTGACAGTCCCTTCCTTATTCCTATAGGTGACAGAGACAGCTAGATGTCTACCCACTGCCATTTCCCTGCTACAGGCTGAATGCTTGTCTTCCCAAAATTCATATATTGAAATCCTAACCCTCAATGTGATGGCATTTGAAGATGGGGCTTTTTGGGGGTGATGAGCATTATTTGAGGTCATGAGAGTGAGCCCTTGTGATGGAATCTATGCCCTTATAAAAAGAGGAGGAGACGCCTGGTGTGACTCGTTCCTGCATGGCTGTTCTCTTGAGCAGTGGTTGTTTATCTCTGTCTGCCTTCTCTCCCTCCTAAGTGCTTGCTGCCACCCAATGGAAGATTCAGTGGACATGGACATGAGCCCCCTGAGGTCCCAGAACTATCTTTTTGGTTGTGAACTAAAGGCCAACAAAGATGATCACTTAAGGTGGATAATGATGAAATGGACAACAGTTATCTTTAAGAACGGTCAGTTTAGGGGCTGGTGCAAAGAATGAATTGCAGATTGTTGAAGCAGAGGCAATGAATTACGAAGGCAGTCCCATTAAAGTAACACTGGCAACTTTGAAAATATCTGTACAGCCAACAGTTTCCCTTGGGGGGCATTGAAATAACACCACCAGTGGTCTTACGGTTGAAGTGTGGTTCAGGGCCACTGCATATTAGTGGACGGCACTTAGTAGCTGTGGAGGAAGATACAGAGTCAGAAGATGAAGAGGAGGAGAATTCGAAACTCTGAAGTATATCTGGAAAGTGGTCTGCTCCTGGAGGTGGTAGCCAGCTTCTACAGAAAAAAACTAAAACTTGCTGCTGATGAAGATTATGATGATGATGATTTTGATGATGAGGAAGCTAAAGAAAAAGCACCAGTGAGGAAATCTATATGAGATACTCCAGCCAAAAATGCACGAAAGTCAAATCAGAATGGAAAAGACTCAAAACCATCATCACCACCAAGATCAAAAGGACAAGAATCCTTCAAAAAACAGGAAAAAAACTCCTAAAACACCAAAAGGACCTAGTTCTGTAGAAGACATTCAAGCAAAAATGCAAGCAAGTATAGAAAAAACACATTGAGCAATCCTGGGCACTACCAGTAAATAAAGCCCAAAGATGGAGAGAAAGAAAAAAGAGAGGCAAATGTGGTCCATAATGAGTGTCATCAATAATCCAGACTGAAGTCTATTTTAATCTCAATCCCCTTTTCTGATTTGCCACCCATGCCTCTTCAGGAAACAATCTCACTCTTGGTTCCCTAAAGCACTTTCTTCTGATTGCTGTGATTCAGTGAACCTTGCCCTTTACTTTCTATTACTTGTGCATTTGCCTCACCTCTGACCATGTTTTAAATCACCTTTCTATCTTTTTAGCTGCTCAATAAATATTTGAATGAATGAAAAAAAAAAAAAAGAGGCTGGGCAGGTGGTTCATCCCTGTAATCCCAACACTTTGGGAGGCCAAGGTGGGCAGATCACCTGAGGTCAGGAGTTCAAGACCAGCCTGGCCAACATGGTAAAACTCCGTCTCTACTAAAAATACAAAAATTAGTTGGGTGTGGTGGCATGTGCCTGTAGTCCCAGCTATTCGGGAGGCTGAGGTAGGAGAATCACTTGAACCCGGGAGAGAGATGTTGCAGTGGGCCAAGATCGCATCACTGCACCCCAGCCTGGTTGACAGAGTGAGACTCTGTCTCAAAAAAGGAGAAAAAAAAAGAGGAGGAGACACAGGATCTTCCTCTCTGCTCACCAACATTTGAGGAAAGAAGACAGTCATCTACAAACCAAGAAGTGGCCCCTCACCAGACCTGGATCTGCCAGCACCTTATCTGAGACTTCCTAGTCTCCGGAGCTGTGAGATGTAAACTTCCATTGTTTAAACCATTCAGTCTATTATGTTCTATTATAGCATATAGTCTATGATATTCTATTATTATTATTTTTGCTTGGGTAATCCCTTTTAATGGTGAACTTCAGGTCACAACTGTAACTATCAGTTCAACTACACCAAGGTTTCTGAAGACAATGGCTTCTCCACCCAAGCAGGTTGTATATAAATTCCAAATGGAACCTGGCATCACCCTGAAGAAATTCTAACTTTACGCTGTTGGGGAAATTTACCAAGATGGCTTCAGAATAGACTAACTTTATACAGCACATTTTAAAAAAAGACTTTTATTCAGCGTCACAATCAGACCAAGCCCAAACTAAGACTTCTCTTTTCTTCCTTGCCAATGAAACCTTTACTTTATTGCAAATGTCAATATGACCAGCTTAAGAAAACTACTTTTCCTAGTATCCCAGGTGAATAGGCATGAGCAAGTGGCAAAATTTTGACTGGCAAGATGGGAATAGAAATCATTGAGTAGGACATCTGTAAAGCTTCTTAAATGGGGAAAATGGCTCATCTGTGGGCCCCTTAATATTTTTCCCTTCCCCTTTCTTACTTATCCATACTAAGCACAAACACGGCACCACTATGTGCATTGCAAGGATATATGTATATTCAAGAGCGCATCTCAATCATGCCAGAATGGGATGCCTGCAGGAGACAAGCAATGGGAGTAAGTGGCTGGTATAAATGGGAAAAACAACTTTTTGGAGGGGTGGAGGGGATTTCATGTCCAAAAAGTTGCTCATCTTTAAACACACACACACACACACACACGCGCGCGCGTACATGTGAAAGTTTGTTACATAGGTAAACTCATGTCATGGGGGTTTGTTGTACAGATTATTTTATCACCCAGGTATTAAGCCCAGCACCCAAGAGTTATCTCATTGTGGTTTTGATTTGCATTTCTCTAATGATCAGTGGTATTAAGCTTTATTTCATATGCTTGTTGGCCACATAGCTGTCTTCTTTTGAAAAGTGTCTGTTCATTTCCTTTGCCCACTTTTTAATGGAGTTGTTTTTCTCTTGTAAATCTGTTTAAGTTTCTTATAAATGCTGGATATTAGACTTTTGTCAAGTGCATAGTTTGCAAATATTTTCTCCCATTCTGTAGGTTGTCTGTTTACTCTGTTGATAGCTTATTTTGCTGCGCAGAAGCTCTTAAGTTTAATTAGAACCCACTTGTCAAATTTTGCTTCTGTTGTGATTGTTTTTGGTGTTTTTATCATGAAATATTTGCCCATTTCTATGTTCAGGATGGTATGGCCTAGGTTATCTTCCAGGGTTTTTATACTTTTGAGTTTCATATTTAAATATTTAATTCATCTTGTGTTGATTTTTGAATATGGTGTAAGGAAGGGGTCCAGCTTCAATCTTCTGCATATAGCTAGCCAGTTATCCCAGCATGATTTATTGAATAGGGAGTCTTCTTTTTATTGGAAAAGTAAATTTTTTTAAAGAGAAGGGAGGTCAAGAAGGCAGATCAGACTGGATGTGGTGGCTCATGCCTGTAATCCCACCCAGGCCGAGGCGGGTGGATCACCTGAGGTCAGGAGCTCAAGACCAGCTGGGCCAACATGGTGAAACTCCATCTCTACCAAAAATACAAAAATTGGGGTTCCTCCCTCCCCAGGATGGCTGCTGAAGGTGAGTTATTGCTGCTGCAGCTCCCCAAGCTGTTTGAAACCAGCGAAACAGCTTCTGGACGAAGTAGAAGTAGCGACTGCACCTGCCGATTCCCGGATAGTCCAGGAGAAGGTGTTCAAGCGCCTGGACCTCCTTGAGAAGGCTGCCTAAATGTTATCGCAGCTCGACTTATTCAGCCAAAATGAAGACTTGGAAGAGATTGGTCCCACCGACCTGAAGTACCTATTTGGTGCGAGCATTTCAAGGAGCCCTCACTATGAAATAAGTCAACCCCAGCAAGTGTCTAGATCATTTGCAGCAGGCTCGAGAACACTTTATAAACGACTTAACTGAGTGCCATTGCTATCATGTGGCAGAGTCTAAGCTGCCCAAAGTCAAGAACAACTCAGCTGAAAATCACACTGCTAATTCCTCTATGGCTTATCCTAGCCTCGTGGCTATGGCATCTCAAAGACAGGCTAAAATAGAGAGACACAAGCAGAAGAAGGATTTGGAGCATAGGTTGTCTGCAGTGAAATCTGCTGTGGAAAGTGGTCAAGCAGATGATGAGCATTGTTCATGAATCTTATCTTCACCTTCAGAGGTGGATTGATATCAGCTTAGAAGAGATTGAGAGCATTGACCAGGAAATAAAGTCTCCTGAGAGAAAGAAACTCTTCAAGAGAGGCATCAACTTCTAATTTATCTTGCCAGGAGAGGCCTCCAGTGAAACCCTTCATTCTCACTCAGAACATGGCCCAAGTCTAAGTATCTGGAGCTGGTTATCCAAACCTGGCAACTATGACGGTGAGTGACTGGTATGAGCAACATTGGAAATATGGAGCATTACCAGATCAGGGAGTAATCAAGGCAACACCAGAGAAATTAAGAAAAGCAGCTCAGCAACAGGAAGATCAAGAAGAAAACGGGGAAGAGGATGATGAACAAACACTGTACAGAGCTCAGGAGTGGGTTGACTGGAAGGACACCCATCTGAGGGACTATGGTGACCGACAGAAAATGGGCTGATCTTCCCACAGCACAGCAGGGCTGCAGGGTGCACACCTCCCCCGCCAAGGAAAACCATGCCGTCCTCCCCGCCCTGGGCTCCCGCTGCAGCTGTGTACAACAAAGGCAAAATGCTAAATCTTGTTTTGCATTCCATAAAGTGTCAAGTGATTAAGTGTGTATTTGTACTCCTCCAAAAAAATTATCCGGACATGGTGGTAGGCACCTGTAGTCCCAGCTATTCAAGAGGCTGAGGCAGGAAATTTGCTTGAACCTGGGAGGCAGAGGCTGCAGTGAGATCACACCACTGTACTCCAGCCTGGGCAACAGAGCCAGAGTCTGTCTCAAAAAAAAAAAAAAAAAAAAAAAAAGGAGGATGGCTTACACCTGTAATCCTAGTAATCCCAGCACTTTGGGAGGCCAAGGTAGAGGCTTACTTGAGGCTAAAAGTTTGAGAAGAGCCTAGGCATCATGGCAAGACCCCATCTGCACACACAAAATTTTTTTTTTATTTAGCTGGGTGTGGTGGTGTGTGCCTGCAGTCCTGGGTATGGTGATGCACTCCTATAGTCCCAGCTTCTCAGGAGGCTGAGGTAGGAGGACCGCTTTAGCCCAGGAGTTTGAAGCAGCAGTGAGCCCTGATAGTCCCACTGTACTCCAGCCTAGGTGACAGAATGAGACCTTGTTTCCAAAAAAAAAAAAAAAAAAATTGAATAAAGGACTCCATACAGACTGTTAAGAATGTTTTCTGAAATAGGTGTTATGGGTGTTTTTATTTAACTCAACTCTCTTCTCTGTGTCCTGGAAGGGAGGGGGAACAGGGAGAGGAGAGACAGAATCACAGCCAAAAGCTGTGGTCAATAATCATATGAAACCCTGCAGTGGTGCAGCGGCCTCTGCTCTGTGGGTAATTAAGAGGCGAACTCTCCACTTCCACTAGTATTCCTTGAAGATGTGAGCAACAGCGCTGGGCTGTCCTGCAGGAAAGACATGGGCTGCTGGCCAGCCCTTGTATCTCAAATCCAAACATGCATTCCCTTTCCAGATCCTCTGTCCTAGCCAGTGGGGGGTGCGCCCAGCTTCAGATCCTTGATTTATCTTATCTTCACACAGCTGTCCGTTTTAGGACTCAATAGACTTAACTTCCTGTTTAGGTTCTCTTTTCCATCAGGAGAGACTGCTGGCTGCCTTCTTCCTCTAAGCAGAAGTGCATAAAATTAAATGTTACCTAAAGTCTCTGTGTTTTGGGAGAGGTTAAAGAAGGAGTGTGGTAGGCTGTCACATCAGTGAGCCTGGCTGAGCTATGCCTCCTTGTACACTCCCCTGCCTTGGAATCTCAGTGTTCCTATGACCTGCTTTAATCACTAGAAGCAGGCAGAAGGGGTACTGTTTGGAGCCTGGGACTTGAGGACTGGAAGCTTCCGCTTTGGCCCTCTGGGGGAAGCCAGCTGCCCTGTAGAAAGATGACTGCCCTAAGTCCAGTGTGCTGTGAAAAAGCCCACAACAAGTTTTACAGTGGTTTGTTATGAATACTAGAAACCAAACAAACAGCCACCATACTGCATTATATTTAGGGCTTGTATTTCCGACTTAGGGGAACAACAGCTTAGGGGAGAGGGTAGCATTTCCTTTTTTCCTTTTTATTTTGGGAGGGGGATGGAGTCTTACTCTGTAGCCCAGGTTGGAGTGCAGTGGCATGACTGAGTCCCAGTTACTGGGTCCCAGTTAAAGCAATTCTCCTGCCTCAGCCTCCCAGTAGCTGGGTTTACAGGGACGTGCCATCATACCCAGCTAATTTTTGTAATTTTAGTAGAGACGGGGTTTCACCATGTTGGCCAGGCAGGTCTTGAACTCTTGACCTTGTGATCCACCTGCCTAGGCTTCCCAAAGTGCTGGGATCACAGCTGTGAGCCACTGCAACCGGCAGGTAGTGTTTCTTCTCACAGGGAAAGAGAGTGGTTGTTAAGGATGTCTCCCATGTGTAAGAGGATGCATGACACTGCAAAGCATCATCAAATGCTGACTTCCTCTCACTGTGTTTCTCTCCTCTGGCTCCTTTTCCCCCTCCACCCACCCACCCCCAACCTTTTTTTTGAGACAAGGTCTCACTCCGGTTGCCCAGGCTGGAGTGCAATGGCATGATCTTGCCTCACTGCAACTTCAACCTCCTGAGCTCAGGTGATTCTCCCAACTCAGCCTCCTGAGTAGCTGGGAATACAGGTGCACACTATCATGCCCGGCTAATTTTTTTGTATTTTTAGTAAAGAAAGGATTTCATCTCACGTTGCCCAGGCTAGTCTCAAATTCCTGGATTCCAGCAATCTGCCCACCTCAGCCTCCCAAAGTGCTGGGATCATAGGCGTGAGCCACCGCACCCGCCCTCCTCTCCCTTTTAATGAGCTGATCCCCCTTGCACCCTGGATTTGCCTTCTGCTTCTTCCCACTCCTGTCGCTTTGCCCGTTCTCTGCCATCCACCTGCAACACTCCGCCTTCATTTCTGTGTATCGAAATCACTCCACTTTTTCTAAACCATTGTAAAGGATAACCTTTTTTTTTTTTTTTTTAGATACAGGGTCTCACTGTGTTGCACAGGCTGGTCTTGAACTCCTGTGCTCAGGTAATCCTCCTGTCTGTGCCTCCCAAAGTGCTGGGGTTACAGATGTGAGCCACCACATCCTGCCTAAGTATAGCCACTTTAATAGTTTTCCATGAATATCTCAGCCCCAGTAAAAGCTGTGCCTTTCCTCTGAAATCCTTTCCCAAAGCAATGCTAAGTGGAAAATTGATTTGGCCATTAGTCATTTTGTGACATCATTTCTCTTATTGTCTTGAACTAATATGTAAATGTACCTTGATTTCACTTTACAGTGGTTTGTTTCTTGTTCCCTGAATCAGATTGTAGCTCATTAAGAACAGGAATATTGGGCTGGGTGCAGAGGCTCATGCCTGTAATCCCGACAGTTTGGGAGGCCAAGGTGGGCAGATCACGAGATCAAGAGATAGAGAGCATCCTGGCCAACATGGTGAAACCCTGTGTCTACTAAATATACAAAAATTAGCTGGGCATGGCGGCATGCACCTGTAGTCCCAGCTACTCAGGGGGTTGAGGCAGGAGAATTGCCTGAACCCAGGAGGTTGAGGTTGCAGTGAGCCAAGATCACACCACTGCACTCCAGCCTAGTGACAGAGCGAGACTCCTCTCAAAAGAAAAAACAAACAGGAATATTGGCTGGGCAAGGTGGCATAAGCCTGCAATCCTAGCACTTTAGAAGGCCGAGGTGAGCAGATTACTTGAGGTTGAGAGTTCCAGACCAGGCTGGCCAACACGGTGAAAACCTGTCTCTACTAAAAATACAAAAATTAGCTAGGCATGGTGGTACCTGCCTGTAGTCCCAGCTACTTGGGAGGCTGAGGCAGGAGAATTGCTTGAACCCAGGAGGTAGAGGCTGCAAGGAGCCGAGATCATGCCATTGTACTCCAGCCTGGGGGACAACAGCGAAACTCCATCTCAAAAAAAAAAAAAAAGAACAGGAATATATGTTGTCATCCATTCATTAGAAAGTCAGTAAATATCTATTGATTTTAACTATACTTACCAGTTCCATGCAGACCAAGCAGCCTAATAGCTTTCTTTTTAAAGCTCTCACATCCTATCAGAATGATTGCAACAATTTTTAACTTTTGTCCAAGACAGAGGGGATTTCTGGGAACGAGAACCTTCAGTTTTAAAACTGAAAAATTAGCCAGGCATGGTGGTGTGCACCTGTAGTCCCAGCTGTTCTGCAGGCTGAGGCAGGAGAATCACTTGAACCCGGGAGGCAGAGGTTGCGGTGAGCTGAGATTGTGCCATTGCACTTCAGCCTAGGTGACAGAGCAAGACTGTCTCAAAAATAAATAAATTAATTACATTAAATAAAACTGAGAATGTCCCATGCAAACCAGGACAAGTTGGCTATCCTACTTATAAGGTTATTGCCTCATCTAATTCACATGGTGCTCCGCCCAGGGTTTCAAACAGCAGAACAGTTGCCCAACCCTATTTTCACATAAATTACTCTTGTGAGTTCTATAAGTTCAAACAAGTGGTCTCCTAAACAAGTTTCACTGTCATTTAAATTTGATAGACTTTTGAAAATCATTTGTGATAATTATACATTACCCTAATGGAGGCTGTTTTCACAGTAGAAGCTATAAAAAGGAAGGATAAAAACTTATTGGATTTTCTCCAGCTTGGGTGTTACAGGGAAGCTGTATGTGGCAAACACATGTCATTTGGCCCCAGACAGTCTTACTGTATTCCATCCTGCTGCAGAGAAAGTTCACGGCTTCAGTAAGACCTTAGTTAGACCTTTTGCTACATTGTATTGAAACACTTACCTGTCACTCTTTACTTCCCAGTATTGTCAGTTTCTTTTTTGGAGACAGAGTCTCACTCTGTTGCCAGGCTGGAGTATAGTGGTGCATCTCGGCTCACTGCAAGCTCCACCTCCTGGGTTCAAGCAATTCCCCTGCCTCAGACTCCTGATTAGCTAGGACTACAGGTGTGCGTCACCACACCCAGCTAATTTTTTTGTATTTTTAGAGACGAGGTTTCACCATGTTAGCCAGGATGATCTCAATCGCCTGACCTCGTGATCCGCCTGCCTCGGCCTCTCAAAGTGCTGGAATTACAGGCGTGAGCCACCATGCCCGGCCTAGTGTGAGCTTCTTAAAGCCAAGGGCTGGTGCTGTATTTATATGACAACATTTATAAAACACATACAGTGTACCAGACAATGTTCTTTGCTTTTTACAATTTTTTTTTGTGTGTGTGTAAGAAATATGTTGTAATAACATGTTCTCAAAGTTTGCTTCCAAAGATGTTTCTCTGTCAAACACTTATATTCACTAACTGAAAACAGCTTTTGATTCATCTTTAAGAAAGCATGCTTACATTTGCCTTTTTTTGGTATAAATTTATGAGGTACAAAGGTAATTTTGTTTCATGCATAGATTGTTTGGTGGTGAAGTCAGGGCTTCTAGAGTGTCGATCACCAAATAATGTATATTGTACCCATTAAGTGATTTCTCATTATCCATGCCCCTCCCACTCCATACCTCTTTTGAGTCTCCATTGTCTATCATTCTGCACTTTAATCCATGTGTCAATATTATTTAGCTCCCACTAATAAGTGAGAACATGCAGTATTTGTCTTTCTGTTTCTGAGCTGTTTCACTTAACGGCCTCCAGTTCCAACCTTGTTGTTGCAAAAGACATGAGTTCATTCTTTTTATGGCTGAATGGTATCCCAAAGTGTGTGTGTGTGTGTGTGTGTGTGTGTGTGTATATATATCTCACATTTTCTTTATCCAGTTATCCATTGATGGACAGTCAGGTTGATTTCGTAGCTCTGCTATTGTGAATAGCGTTGCGATAAACACATGACAGCAGGTGTCTTTTTGCTGTAATGATTTCTTTTCCTTTGGGTAGATACACAATAG